TACTTCTTGGAGATATGCAAGTAGGTACCAGAACATTCTCTTCCATTTTAACTTTCGTCTATATTTCGCATATATTATTATGAAGAATTCTGATACAAACGAATATTTTTTTAATAATTCTGATACAAAATTTGAAAATTATATTTGACAATTAATACAATCGACAGGCCAGACATGTCTCAAATTACTGAAGCTGTGTTTAATGAACTGTGTTGCCATGGTAATGTGTTTAAGAAATCGTGTTGCCATGGTAACGTATTTAATATTTTGAATAAATCACAGATCGTCAATCCGTGATTAATCGATCATTTAGCGTGGTACATATCCGTACGCTAAATGCCATATTAGTTATGTGAGTAGAAAAAATATTTTATGCACGACCAGGCGTAAAGTAGCACTTTACCGCCCGGGTTTGCGGGCGTAAAGTAGCACTTTACCGCCCGCGGACTACTTTACCGCCCGGCGGGCGATAAAGTCATTGAGCTGGTGGTAAAGCTAATGTCACTGTCATATCGATAGAAATCTAGATTCCAATGGTTTCAATTAATGCAAAATGATTGGGAAAATAGATCTGAATTATACAGGAGTGCTCATTTGAATATTGAAGTTTTCTTTATATTTCTGTAATGCAAAATTATATGATCAAACCCAAAACTTTATTAACAATGATAAAACGAATCAATTAACATAAATAACGAGTTAAAACTTAATATTTATAATACAATCAGAACAGTTAGTTATGGATATATTTGGATTTGTTGTCTTCTGTATGATTACACAAATTGACAGTTAATATGGCTACTGGCCTATTAATTCCTATTTGGAAAAATTGACTGAGTTGCCATGGTAACGTTGATTCCATACTTCTTGATTAATTGTATTTGCGATATGGATACAATACAGTCTCACTGCAACCGTGATGTATTTTTATTGTGCTTGAGGGGTGAAGAGATACCTACATGAGATATCAAATAGATAGATAGATAGATAGATAGATAGATAGATAGATAGATAGATAGATCAGTTTATTTCCTTCAAATGACAAATTACAGATTTGTATAGGAATTGTCAAGAAAAACTTAATGCTAGGGGACGAAAAACAAACATATAAGACACAATGAAAGATAAAAACTATACCTAAGAAACTATAAGGAGTGAGATACAGTTAGTTCTGTGAATTTACTTTTGATCATATAAAAACTCGTCAAGTGTATAAAAACATTTATCAAGCAGAAAGGACTTGAGACTCCTTTTTTGAATGTTTTAAGGTCATTTTTGGATTTTATTTCTTCTGGTAGACGATTGAATATTTTTGGCCCAATGAAATTTGGAGAGTTTTGACTGATTTTATACTTAGCCATTTTTGTGTGAATGAAATGTTTTTGACGAGTATTAATTTTATGGATATCACTGTTGAGTGTGAAGTCGTTTCTGTTGATATATATGTATATTGACAATTCATAAATGAATAGGCCGATAAGAGTTAAAATTTCATGATCATGAAATAGTGGCCTGCATGAGCTGCGTTTAGGAGTTTTAAATATGCACCTTAAAATGGCTTTTTGTTTAATAAAAACATTGTTGCCCATTGATGAGTTGCCCCACAAACAAACACCGTAACGTAACCGAGCTTCTACTTGGGCATAATATATGCATATCAATTGATTCGAATCTAAAACAGTGTTTAAGTTTTTGAACATATAAATTATTGAGCTCAGCTTAGAGACTAACTGTTCACAATGTGTGTTCCAATTCAAAAACTCGTCCATATAAATTCCCAGAAATTTCACTTTGCAGCAGGTGCTTACAATGCTATCATTAACATTTAGTTGGAGTGCATCAACTTTATTTTGATAATTATGGAAACGAATCACCTGTGTTTTCCCGGCATTGAAAAATAGATCATGTGTATTGAAATATCTGGTGGCTGAAGACAAGATTTCCTCACATTTATCAGATAATGAATGAGTGTCTTTAGTTGATACCAGAAAGCTAATATCATCCGCATAGGCGGTAAACAAAGGATATGTTATTTCTTTATCAATATTATTAGTATACAAAATAAACAAAATTGGTCCCAAGATGGATCCCTGTGGCACTCCCATCTGAACCAGCTTCACTTCAGATGTACAGGAAGATAGTGTATTACCGTTATCAATATATACAGGTCGTGCATAAAATGTTGTATGTATTTTGGGCGTAACTAGCTTTTATGGACCTTGGCGTGTTTCTTACACGCTGCGGTCCATAAAAGCCTATTTTACGCCCTTGATGACGGAAAAAAAAGTTTGACGTTTCATCTCTATTGACAGGTTATAAAATGTCACTTCTCAAAAGTTACTTTTCTCCCACGGGACAAGTGTGCTTTTTTCCCGGATATACAGGGTGTGTCACGACGAGCTTACACTATCTTTATATCGAGAATCAGTCGGGAGAAATACATGAAAATATGCATGCTTTTATTTTAAAATATGCTTCCTTAATTTAAAATAATGCAGAGTTGCCGCTTCTATCAAAAAGTAGCAACAATTTTTTTATTTCAAATGGAATAACCTGTATTTCATTGCATATTTAGATTTACCCTGAAGAGCTGATTTTATCGATATATCACACTTGGGGTCTATCGAAAATGATTACAGAGATATAGGGTGTTCAAAATCGAGATTTTTCAACTTAAGGGTTTTGAACACCCTATATCTCTGTTATCTTTTTCGATAGACCCCAAGTGTGATATATCGATAAAATCAGCTCTTCAGGGAGAATCTAAAAATGCGATGAAATACAGGGTGTTCCATTTGAAATATCAATGTTGCTACTACTTTCTAGTTGAAGCGGCAAGACTGGATTGTCGAAAATATTTTAAATGGAGGGAGCGTATTCTAAAATATAAGCATGCACACTTTCATGGATTTCTCCATTCCACTTCACGTTTACGAACATTATGAAATAACCACCAAGTTCGCAATTTTTGTAAAATCAAATCACAGAATTACACTTACACTGACAGAAAGAATGTCAAAGATATGCCTACAAAAAGATGCCTGCAAGGCAGGTGCAATTCCAGTTAAAATCTTCAAATTTCATGTAGCTAATTTTCGGATTTTAATATAATGTAATATCTTCACAATATTGATTCTTCCAGGAAAAATATTAGATTTTAGTCCATGGTTTATTGTCTCCCTCCCCTATGTGTCTACATTGCATGTGATCAATAAAAATACTCAAGTGGTTTCATAATTTTTTTTCACTGGTCTCAAATATAAAGATAACCAGATTTTTTTATACAGGGTGTTATATATAGAAGACAGGATGTTGTATTTAAATTGGAAGAAATTGTGAGTTTTTACCGAGATTTTTACTGAAGATGAAACTGGATTCTGATTTTGATTACCAATTATCGTTGATAGGTAATCTGGTTGGTAATGCAAGTGAATTATGTCTACTAAGTATGATCAGATTATACAAAGTGGTTCAAAAGTTATATGTACTATATTAGAATCAAAGTATAACATCCTGATTCCTGAACACTATCAGTAGGTTAAACAAGGTGGAATAATCATTTATCTAGATTTCATGGGAATTTCTCTCCTCGTTTCTCTATGAGCATAATTTCAATATACAGAGTGATCCATAAAGGGATATGGTGAAAAAGTACATCATTATATTATGGAAAAAAAATTCTCGGTATCTGTTATCTATTCTCCTAGAAATTGAATTTGCCATGTCATGTGATCAATATCACTAAAATGAAAAGAAAACTATGAAGATGAAAAAAGAAAAAAGTGGGTTAGAAGGTAAGATATCTAAAAAATTTATTTGAAAAAGCTGCTTACAATTCAATTCAATACTTACCTACAGAATTTCAAGCAATTATTTGAACAAATTTAGAACAGCTGTTTTTTGGAAGTTAAAAAAAAAGATGTTACTGACTATGGATTGAATGTCTCTTTTAGACTTCTAATTAGTGAATTTTTTAAGTGATATTTGAAATGGAAACGGGTTGATTTCATATGAAATATTATAATTTTTTGCAGGTAAACCAACTTCAGAGTAGTGTTCCTGATGCTTTCAAATCTTCAGTCTCGAAAAATATTGAATTAAAATTAATTGCAAATTGAATAGCTTTATTAGTTAGTTTTTTTGTAAAAAAAATCTTCATAACAATGGACCCGTTTTTATTTCAATATAAACCCAGCCCTTGATATCTGAAAAACCAATCATATTGATGGTTAAAAATACCAGTCCACATTTTATAAGAATCCCATGTCTATAAGCCAAGTTAGAGGGGGGGTCCATTCAAAGTGAGCCATGCTGTATATATTTATGGAAACAAGAAAAAATCCCAAAAAATTTCTAGAACTCCTGTTGGTATCTTAGTTATGAAAAACAGTGGGCACCCCAATGGGAGGGGTGTGATTTGCCTCCAGGGTTGTTCATCTGTCAAACTCACACCCAATCAACACAACTACAGGTTAGGTGTAAGTTTACCCAGTTTAGGTTACATCCATGTAAGTAAAACCAAAAAAGGCATTTTCAGGAATGAAGATTTAGAGGTTTTTCTGGAAACTAAAATATTATTTCACAGGAAACCTTCATATTATAAATATGGGATTTGTGAAGTCTGAAATAAGCAATTCTTTGAAACAATTAAATAATTTTTGTATTCATTCACTTCACTAGATAGAGGTGAAAGTTATGTATTCCTTTTTTTTATTTTTCAAAACGGAAAATATCTAAGTAAATATGTACTGAAGTTATCAATGTTAAATAATAGGTATTGTCTGTAGATAAGTGGAAGTTTGATATTCTTTTAATATTACCTATGTTCCTCTCCTTCAAACCTATTTCAAACAAGGTGTCACTAATTATGAATAAAATGTTGGGTTGCTAATAGTGATATTTCAAAACCAGTGAAATTTTGGGGTGAATCATCTGATTTATCCCTATTAAAAATATTTTGAACTCACCAACATTTTTATCTATAAAAAGTTAAAACCTGGGGAAAATTACAAAAATGTAGATACTAATACCTTTTGAAAAATAATATAATTCATCAGGTGTGCAGAGATAGAACAGTAAAATCAAAATGGGCCTTTTGAAACTCAATTACACATTGACTGATGTGAGCCACAATGTAATAGGTATTCTCAAGGGTATTCTAGATGCAGGATCTAAAGTTAGAGCTCAATTTCTATTATTGTTCCATTCCCTTAATACATATCAAATCTCAATTGAATAATGGTGGGTTAAAAAAGATATTGTTGTTAGGAATGAAATCTAAAAGCACCAAAATGATGGAATAGTCATAGATAACTGGTAAACAAAGACAGAAGGGTTCAACTTTACCCCCCAAGAACCTTACCAATGCACATTGATAATGACAGATTAGAGTGACCAATATCACTAATGATTACCTTTTCAATATTGTATTTTTCGATGGCTTGTGAGTCAATTCCACATTGACTGATGTGAGCCACAATGTAATAGGTATTCTGAAGGGTATTCTAGATGCAGGATCTAAAGTTAGACCTCAATTTCTATTATTGTTCCATTCCCTTAATACATCTCAAAACTCAATTTAATAATAATGGGTTGAAAAAGATACTGTTGTTAGGAATGAGATCTAGAAGCACCAAAATGATGGAATAGTCATAGGTAACTGGTGAACTGAGATAGATGAGTTCAACTTTACCCCCCAAGAACATTACCAATGCACACTGACAATGACAGATTAGAGTGATCACTAATGATTACCTTTTCAATATTGTATTTTTCGATCGCTTGTGTCGCACAATCTACAGCATCTTGTTGCATGTCTTCGCTCATGTCAGCATTCTTAATAACTGCTTTACGATCAGTCATCTTGGAATCTTTTTGTGAGTTATTGGACCTGTAAAACAAGAACAGAATATTATACCTACTATACACGGGTACTTTGCTTTCAATACCTTTGAACAGTTTTACTATATGAATTGAGATTTCTGACTTTGATAAGGGCATGAGCTCTCAGCTCACCCATAACTGATGCAATTTCGAACCATGCTGTGTTTTATCAATATACCTATCATGACATATTACCAAAATCTATCATGCAATATCAGTTTAAAATTGATTTTAACGTCTATCAAAGATAGTGAACAAGATCCATTTAACAGACAACAGTGGAGAAGGTAAGAAGGTAAACCAAATGCATACTCACGTGAATTTTAGGGAATCTCACTGAATTGAAAGATAAAAAAAGTATTTATGACTTTTCACGTTCTTGTAATTTTATTATTTTGTTGAAAGAAACGATATTCAATTTTTTACACCTCAGGTCTGTCTGGCGCGTACTAAATAAGCAACTGCCAAAATCCAAAAATTGCCCTCACAAATTCTGTAGATTATTGGTTAAAGCTAGAGGCGTCTGGCAGAGGCATCTGGCAACTTCAACGTGATTGGCCAAGAACAGCTATTACATCAGCGGCGTGCGTTGGAGGATTTGGGTGGGCAAAAAGGTTACGATGACATCAGCTCAGCTCACAGGTATAGTTGAACAATAATACAAGAATAATAATCATTCAACCTACTCATCACACATTGGCGATAATACATATGAAAACTAATACTCGAAATAAGTAACAAATGCTTCTATAAATAAACTACGACAGTACAATAAAGTAATGATTTCCAAATAATTAATTGCCATGCAATAAGTAATGATTTTTAAACATTAAACATTAAACAAAAACTCGTACCAATGAATACTCAATGATATATTCTCAGAAAAGGATGCTTTAAATATTCTGCTCATTCGTTTTTGGCAGGTGTATCTAAAAGCAATAAAAATTCAAAATCTTTCCGTAAATTTGTATAGGTATATATAAAAAGTATACTAGGGAGGTAATCAAGATAACCTATATTTAAATATCTGCATGTATTATAGCCATTAAATCGTTAGGTCTATATTATGATGTATAGGTAGTAGGTATACCACTGAGCAATATAAGGATATATAACCATCAGTCCATCATCTACCCACACGATGAATGTGTGGTTCGATATAAAAATGCAAAGGAATCAAAGCACATGCACCAAATATAGAAGAAAAATACCTTTAATATTTCAATAAGTCGATGATGAGTTATAGCAGAAAAGTATAAAATATATAAACGAACTAATAAAATATTATATATACATCTGTAATTCTCTGTCTGACAATTGACAATGTCTCGAATAGTAAATTGATGCAGATTGCAGATCACGTAAAAAATCAATGCGTAGGTAGGTACCACTTGGCGCAGTCTCCGCGTCCTTTTGCTTTCTAAAATCAATAAGTAATATACAGAACGAAATTTTCTTATCGCTTTCGTTATTATTGATATAGCGCCATATATTCGTACATACGGACACCAAAAATGTAAAAGTATGATTATAATGATAATCAGAGTTTTGAAATAGAACTTTATACAGTATGAACAGTCAGGTTAGGTTGGGGTTGGATCGTTAGATATGTTGTTATTCGCATTTCGCGGTAGTCAAAGTCATCATCTGGCGCTGCGATGACATGAAAACTATGGGAAAACATTCCTAACTCCTATGATGTTCGATGTTGAAAGTTATTGACATGTTTCCCATAGTTTTTAATGTCATCCAACGTCATCTGATGACCTTGGCGACTTTATTGCAGAGGAAGTGACTACAGGCGCACCGCCCATGTGCGACATGCTCATTCATAGCATAGACTGTACGGAGTATAGTGTACGTCAAACTGGTTAACTTTATTATGACGTAACGGTAACTTTATTATGGCGTCACGGTTCACTTGTGGAACTTGACAGATGCTAGTTCGTCGATTATTAATACAAAAATATATCAGTAATAGGACTACTTTCCTACTTCAAATTCAAGAGAATAAGATCAATTCACTACATACTTACCTATTTACAATGAATCAAACATTTTTTCCTGTGACGAGAAAAAAGTTCGAAATTTCATCTCTGTTGTCAGGTTATAAAATGTCACTTTTCTTAAACTACTTTTTAGTACTCACTTTTTTCCCGGATATATATCACATATATATACACTGGCTATATTCCGAATTCAACTGACAGTACTGAATCTGCTGAATTTTCATTCGGAAATCAAAAAAATTGACTGAAATAAGGGACAGATACTCGTGAGCAGATATACTATTCATTCCAAATATTTCGACTCAACATTCTGCTGAAATTGCTGACTATCAAAAGGTAGTGTGGCTTCAGTGAACTGTCATTATTTTTGAGGGGAAAGGAATGATACATTCATTTCCGTTGTTTTTCAAACATTAAGTCTTGGCTCATCAATAATACATTAATAATATCATTTTGATATCAGAAAATGCCTGTTATTTATTTAGCTCAAGAAGGAGCATCTGCCAGATCAATGACAACTGAAAAATTTCACCAGCTGATCAACTGCTGCTGATTACTGATTTTTATGGCGAGTTTTTCCTATTTAGTGAGCAAGCATACCAAATGACGGCCATTTAATCCATATGCAATCCAAATACGAGATGTCAAATGTCAATAGATTGCTTTGGAATGACACTACAACGCCATTATTTCAAATGATATTCTTCCTTCTTTTCACTAAACATGGATAAATCAAGAAAATCATATTTCTAGTTGACACATATAATAAAAAAAATGTGTCCAACATTGTGTGATATATATAAATTGTCCAATGATGGAAAAAGAAGGGCAAATTGTTCTAAATGTGATCTAGAAGACAGGCGGAAAAGATGGTGAAATTTGTAACTTTATAGTGAAATATCTTAATAAATAATGGTTTGTTCACATTTTCATTATGAAATTCGTGTTTTTCAGACGAAAATACGTAAGTACCAAAAAAATTTTTCGAAAAAAACCCCATCGCATGATAAGTGCACTTTTACCACAGTTTTGATTAAAACGGAGGAATAAAAGACCTTTTTAAAAATTATACCTATATTCAGGAAATATTTGATGTTCGTGAAAATCTGCAAAAGTGATTCCCAACATGAATATATACAGCACACATGTCATATGAGCATATTAGTTTGAATACCTACGAAAAAATTTTCACCATTTCTCAACCATAAGGCTTAGTCTGAAATCAAAATTAATTTATTGATAGGTATAGTTTATGCAAAGTCAGTTGAAAAAACACATCACCGCAAGCCGTCGGTCCCTTTGGAAGATCAAAGAATGCGGCAGCGCGACCCGACATTCGTTTGATGATCTGTTCAACTGACTTTGTATAAACTATACTGCCTAAGCAGTAACGTATTGAACTGTCAGAAAAATTTGCTCACTGCCTCAAAAAGATAATGCTGGAGTTGAAGAATCAAAAACTCAAAAATTATCATTATTCGGATATATTATGTAGAGATGCAGGAGAAATTACGTATGATACGCCAATGTTCTCAATATAACCTAAAAATCAACAAATGTCAGAAACCTAGTGTTTATCCCCAGAAATGAATAAAGATGAAACTATATGATTGTTTCACAAACACTTTAGAGTGAGGGGAGACGAGGGTCTGTCCGTACCCTGTTGAGATGACAAATAAGTACGTCAATTTACATCAAGGGACCCTAGAACGAACTAGTTCGAATAAAAGGCGCTAGTTCGCTGTCAATCTTGGTTTCAGTTCGTAAGTTCAGCAAAGGGCAAACGTTGACCGATCGATCATCTCTCTCTGCCATTGCCGAGCGTGCGAGCGTCGAGAGAGAGGACCGAGACCAATCGATCATCTCTCTCTGCCACTACCGAGCGTGCGAGCGTCGAGAGAGAGGACCGAGGCCGGCTGATCAAATGATCATGCGATTGGGATCGTGTCATGTGTCCCGCTTACCCCGTGCAGTCCGCACTCCACTGCGTCTAACAGATCTCCCGAAGAGATGCAGAAAATTAATAGAAATCTCATGCGGAAGTTATAATTTTTTTGTAGTTCTTTTCAAAAACCAATTCTTTCATTGGATATAATATACCTATTCTCAACTCTACTGCTATATGAATGTGCAGAAATTGATTTGAATACTTTGCTTGGATCAAATAGGCCTCTTCATTTAGATGACAAATGACTATCTCTATTTACATCTCGCATCCAACGACAGTGGCGGCCATTTTCTCCGAAACACTTACACCACAGTACCACACTCCTCAGTAACGAATAAGTAACGTTTTTAGGAATTAAATTAGTATAATACAATTAATACACACCAGGAATATGAAAACAAAAATACTATGTTGTTATTGTTGTTTCTCAATTACGAATGTCCATGGTGGTTGAAACTGTTGACATTTGACATAACGTCAATATCACCCGCCATATTCGAAATGACCAATCAGCATTTTTGTGTTGGAACTATAGCCAATGAGACCTTACCTTCGCATTACCCAATACATTTTTGGATCTAAAAACGAGCGCATGCGTCTTAAAAATATGTCTAGATGAAAAGGCCTATTGAAGAGTCATATTTGATTTTCCTGATTCAAATATAGTTTTTGAAAAATACGTCCAGAACAACAAAATTTTGATATCTAAAGACCCACTAAACATGAAACCTTCCAAAACATTTCAATTCTAGCCTATTGTGACTAGAGTCCCTGTATATACCTTATACAGGGACTCTAATCCCATATAGCACACGACGTCCAGTGGACGTCCAGCTTAGGTCCAAATAATGTCCAAAGGTCCATGAACCTAACATGGACGTTCAATGGATGTACAATTAGGGATATATTTTGTAACGTCCAGTACTGTACGCCTTATGGATGTCCATTGGGAGTAAGATATTCGACTTCACCAAAACATCCATATTCCTAGGTTTCAAAACGTCCAAGAAATGAACGAAATCGGATCTGAATTGTACGTTTACGATTCGAACGTCTATGTACGATCAATGAATGTACGATTCCGGATATATTTTTTAAGTTCAAAATGGTACGTCTGATGGATGTACATAACTGGATCCATTTTGTACGTTGACAAAATGGACATGAATGCACGTTCAG